ACTTTCTGTCTCTATGGATTTGCCTGTTCTGGAAATTTCATTTGCATGGAATCATACAATATTTGCCCTTTTGAGTCTGGCTTCTTTCACTTAGGATGTTTTAGGTTCATTCATGTCCTACATATCAGTACTTTATTCCTTTTATTAAAGAATACTACTCCATTGTATGGATTTATCACATTTCATTTATCCGTTCATCAGTTGGTGGACACTTGGGTTGTTTCCTATAGTCTATTACTTTTAATCACAGTGTGCTAAGGTCTCTGTAGTCCTTCCTCCAAAATAAATTCCGTATCAGCCATGAAGGAAGAGACTGGGACACCCACAGAGCTTCCTGTGCTTGTTTGGATGGGAACTGTGGAAGACAAAGTGGTGGCCCCTTCCCCAGGGATCCTTTTGATGACTGTCACCTGCAACCTTCTGCAAGGAGTGTCTGTGAGTGATCACAGCCACCTCTCCTGGAAGTGTCTGAGGGTTGTGTTGCACCCAGAGCCAATGACCAACAGTCCTCTGTTCTCCACGAAGGAGGTCTCCATTGAGTTGGAAGGCAGGTCCATATTTCTGGCTTGGAGACACCAAATAGATGGTGGAGAGGGTGACAGACACAGAGTGAAGAAGATCTGGAAGGGGCAGGTGTAGAAGTTGGGGCTTTTCCCTCTCACTTTTTAAAACAGAGCCTGAAGAGCCTGAATAATTTCTCTCAGACAAGCTCCCCCTCTACCTCTCTTGTAAAGGGTTTGGCCTCTAGAGTTGGCCTTCCTGGGTTCAAATATTGGCTCTGTCACTTACAAACTTGTGTGTGACCTTGAAGAAGTTATCTAACCTCTCTCTGAGTCTCAATTTCCTCAGTCTATAAGATGGAAATGATAACCTTACCTACCTTCCAAGGTTATTGTTAGGATGAAATGACTTAATACGAGCAAAGCATTGCCAACAGTGCCTGGTAGACGTAAGTACCAGGCAAGTGCTGGCTGTTGTCACTTATTCACACCCTTGGGAAAGGTGGAGCATTGTTCTGCATATTTTTAAAAAACCTAATGGTTTCGTAATGAATTTATATTAATCAGCAATTTATGTTTTAACTAAAAAATGTGTCTCAAAAATACCTCCCTGTCACTTCAGATCTGTACAAACTCTCTTAGAACTGATGTTTTGTATTTCGCTCTGTAGACACTTGATTGAAATACCCCCAACAAATAATGGACATTTAGGTGGTTTCCAATTTCTCATGACTTTGATGCAACAGCCTACTCATTGATTTCTTTATTTCCATGCTCGTTCCCCTTCCGTCTGTTTTCAGCACAGCAGCCAGAATTATCTCATTAAAAGCACAGACTAAATCAACGCTCCAAACCCTCCCAGGACTCCCACCTCATTCAGAGTGAAAATCAGTTTCCTTACAATGGCCCAGCTGGTCTGCATCCAGCCCAGAATAAATCTGGCCTCATTTACCGGTACTCCCCTCCTTGTCTGTTTGCTCCAGCCACCCGGACTTCTGACCTCTTTCTAAAACGTGCCTCTCTGCTCCTGCCTTTGCACTTGCCGTTCCCTCTGCCTGGAACACTCTTCCTTCAGATATCTGCATGGCTCACTCCTTCACCTTCTTCAGGTCTTCGTCCAAATGTCCCTGAACTACCTTATTTAAAATTGCAACCCCTTTCCTGTGGATAAAGCCAAAAGCATAATGCCTGCAATTGTGGATAGAGTGGACCAGGTGTGTCTAGGCCTCCTTTCAGCTCTAAAATTCTGCTTCAGTGATTTCAGGCCTCAGTCTCCCATTTATAAAGAATGGTGACTTGCGACTCAGCCTACAATATAATGGATGCTGAAGGAATGACAGGAGAGGAATCCCTAGGGCCATGCTTACCTCTTGTTAATCTGGAAGGACTTGGTAAATTCTTGCACACATCCTGGCCTCCTGGCATTGCCTCATTCACTCACTCACCTTCTGCCAAACACGTCGTGGAAACAGCACAGCTCTAACATCCACTTCCCTCCTGAAGTAAAGTAAGCTACCTTTACCTCCACCCCTACCCTGGCTGCATGTACTTGGAGATCAGGTGATGTGTCTGCTGAAAGTGGACAGCCACAGCCTGGACAGACTCTGTCCTCCCTTTGTCAACGTCAGCTTCCCAAAGACAGAGATTTTGTCTGCCTTTTCTCTGCTGTTTGCCCCATACTTAGCACAGTGGCTGGCACATAGTAGGTGCTCAGAAAATGCTGCAAGTGACTGTGCCTCTGTGTCTCTGTCAAAGTTGGTTAAGTGTGTCTTTTGGAATTAAACCTAGAAATAGAAGTCCTAGGTTGCAGGGCACACGTGTTTGACATTTTTAAAAACTTTAAATGTTAGGTTTATGGAGGTTTAATTGATGTAAAATAAACTGCACATTTAATGTGTACAATGTGATGAGTTTTGCCGTATGTATAAACTATTACCACAAGCGATATAAAGAAGATATCCATTGCCCCCAAAAGTTTCTTCATGCATATTTGTAATTCATGCCTCCCATGCTCCATTCCCACACATTTATTTGCTTTGTGTCATTATAGATTAGTATGCATTTGCTAGAACTTTACATAAGTTAAATCAAACCTTTTAAATAGATGTTGCCAAATTGCCCTTTCAAGCAGCCAAACCCATCCATGGTCCCACCTGCTGAGTTACCTTGCACATCCTTGATACCATCAAACTTTTCATTTTGGTCAATCTGGTGGGTGAAAAATGGTACCTCTTTGTTTAACCTAAATTTACATTTTAACTTCAGTATTACTAGTGAGGCCAAGCACTTTTCAAGTCTTTAATGACCAGTTTTGTACCTTCTTCTAAGAATTGCTTATTTTCCCCATTTTTTTCCTATTGAATTTTTGTCCTTCTCTCATTGATTCATAGATTTTTTTTGTTTACATTCTAGGTTCTAATCCTTTTTTACACGTATTGTAAATATTTCACCCCTCGATCTTTGTTTTCCTTTTTAAAATGTAATTTTAAAATTGTGATTTGACCAGTGTTTTCCTTTATTCCTAGTTTTCCCCTTATATCTTACTTAAAAAATTTTACCCACTGTCGTAAACATATTCTTTTAAACCTTTAAAATTCTTAATTTTGGTATCTTTAGGGTTTTAATTCATCTGAAATTTGTTTTTGTAAACGGTATTGGATACAAGTCTAACATAATCTTTTTCCCAAATAAAAAGCAAATGTCCCAACTCCGTTATTTGTTTGTTTCCATCTGATCTGAAATCCTACTCAGCATTTACTAAATTCTGATATACATGGGATGGTTTCTGGACTCTTAAAACTTTTCTATACTGATCTGTTTATTTTTAAGTATTTTGTGGCAATATCCTGTTTAAAAAATTGTGGATAAACTATAAACAACAAGCTCCTACTGTATAGCACAGGGAACTATATTCAATATCTTGTAGTAACCTATAATGAAAAAGAATATGAGAAAAATCTATCTATATATATGTATAACTGAATCACCACACTGTTCACCAGAGACTAACACAACATTGTAAATCGACTATACGTCAATTAAAAAAAACAAACTGGGGAAAATTTCAAACACATATATATGTATGTGTATGTATCTATGTATCATGAACCTGTCACTCAGTTTTAACAATTTAATTTGTGGCCAATCTTGTTCTATCTATACTTCCACTTACTTTCCTTCCTGGGAAACTCCTGATTATTTTGAAGCAAATTCTAGAGTCATTTTATCCCTACCATTTCTATATGTATCTCTAAAAATAAGAAGTATTAAAAACAAAAACAAATAAACAAAAAAATGCCACTCTTGCCGTTTATCTTTTGAAGAAACAAGACCTTTTGTCCTGGAGAGTTTTCCAATCCGGATTTTGCTGATTGCACCCCATGGGGTCAATTAATAATACTTTAAAAATTACTGTAATTTCATAATATATTAATATGAGATCTGGCATGGCAATTCCCCTACCCCCGCCCCGTCCCCTACTATTTTTCAAAATTCAGATGCCACTTCTCGGGCTTTTCCTCTTCCATACGAATTTTAGAATCAATTTGGCAAACTCCATGACAAAACCAATTGGAATTTTCACTGCAATTGCCTTGAACTTTTCAAATGGAAAATTAACATCTTTACAATATTAGATCGCCCTATCCGTTAATTAGGTATGTAACCTTATTTAATTATTTTTATAATTATTCAACAAAGTTTTACAGTTTAAAAAACTTCCCGTAAAAGTCTTGCTTTTTTTTTTTAAACTTCGTAGCCTTTTTTGTTATTACGAACGTCGATCTTTTTGTTCTCTTCTGACTATTGATGTATGGGACCAGACTTTCTTAATTCAAATCCCATCTCCTCCACTTAAAAAAAAAATGTGGTTTTAGACAAGTTTACTTAGCTTCTCTGAACCTCTTCCACAATTTAGGATAATGAAGCCATGGAAGTAGATGCAATTAAAACGGAAGAACCAAGCACACAAAATACCGCCACTTTTGCCAGGAACAGGGTGTGGATTTGGATAGAGTTTGAGAGACTCCTTCACGTTTGGCAGAGACTCTGGGGCGAGTCTATGTTGCATGCAGGGGGCTCCATGATAAAAAGAAGTGAATTCCTATGAATATTCAAGAGACTATGTACAACTTCAGGGAGAATAATAAATGAAGGATTTTCTTCCGCGAAACTTTTGGGGGGGTAGAGGACGTGCACCATCTGTTACCTAAGTGGACTCCCCTGTCTCTTCAGTTGGTGGTACCACCTTTCCCAGTTTGGAGCCGAGCATTTTGGGCTTTGTAGTAATTTCCTCATTCGGGCTGTTCCAACAGGCTCACGCCATCTTACGAGACTACATTTCCTAGGAGTCTCCGGGGCCGGTTGTTTGCTTGTCCCTCATCCTGACTTCCGGCGTCGCTGCGCTCTCTAGAGCCAATCGGGAGGTTGGGATTGCCGGTTCCCGGCACTCTGATTGGTCCGTTTGACTGAGTCTGGGTTCAAATTTTCAACCGTAGTGAATGAGTCCCGCGGCGGGTCTTCCGGGCGGTTGGTTGTCAACGCTGAGGCGAGGTGAGCCGTGAGGAGAAAAGGGGAGCCGACTGGAGCACGGGGCCACCTTCTCCCTGATTTCCGAGCGGCAGGAGGTCGCCTCCCAGCACCCAGCGCGGCTCGCGCCTCGAGGGACAGGCTTCTGGGACGTTGTGGTGCGAGAGGCGCCGTCCTGTCCGGCGGAGCTGGAGCGGGGCTTCCGGCCTCCCTTCTCTTGGCGACAGGATTCCCCCTGAAGTTCGGCGGCCCGGATCTAGCGGGCTGTGTCTGCAGGTAGAGGCGGAGGCGGGCGGCGGGAAATAGGCAGAAGGAGGAGTTGAGGAAGGCTGTGGGCTAAGGATAACGGTGACTACAATTAGATTATTATCCTGCACACATGAAATAAGCATTTACTGGACGAAACGCTCTGTGATTTCTCATTTAATTTTCGCCGCGAGCCAGTGAAGTCAGTACTGTTCGTAGCCTTCCTTTATAGGGGAGAAACTGAGGCCTGTAGTCTAGACACATTTCGAGAAATGGGTGAAGCAGCAGCCCTGCCCGCAGGACGTGTGGCAGTTGGTGAAGGAAAACAGATGTGGTTACAAACAACTACATTTAAAAACTACTGTGTAAGATAGAAAGGTAAATGAGGTAGTGTGGGAACATAATTGAGGGAGAGTTTAATTCCACTTGGAATTCTCTTTCTGTTTTGAGAGTTAAAATTCTCTGTTTTATTCCTATTTGCCCAGCCCTCCCCTTTTGTGGCGAATCACTAGGTATTCTTACCTTTCTAATTTCCTGTCCTAAAACAGGACAGCAGGAAGGAAAAGTGAACCAGGCTATGTAATATTGTAGGATTGTTTTGCTCTCTGTTTTCTTAATATGTGGTTACTTTTTCTCACACACAATTTTCCAGTATTTAAGTACCAAGGACTTCCCTCCGGTCAGTCCTGCTTGGGACTTGACAGCATCTGAGTGCTCTACTGATTTTGCTTGGAATTTTCCCTGGTTCAGCCTTACCTTCTCTTGACATCCTATGGTCTGTCTTTGAATTTGTCACACTCATCAGATGTCAAAATTCGAACTATTTTCTGTGATAATAAGGAGATTTTTGTTTTGTGGCCTCAGTGTATCCCGTGTCCTGTCAAGCCACCCTTAAATCAAACTTGAAGTCTTATTGTGGGTATGTCAATTCAGTATTAAGTTGTCACACACGGGATCAAAATTATTGTGGCTCCTAGCTCACTTAGCTAATTAATTGACCTTTGACGTTTTACTATGTGCTTAGATTGGTGTTAGATACTTCGTGTATACAGAAAAAGGGTTTTCTGGTTTGCTTGAGGACAAAAGTCTGATTCAAATGGACAAGTAACAGAAAAGACAAGATAGCATCTGAGTTCTCTATTGTTTTGTACTGTAAGTGCCCTGGCAGTTTAGAGGTGAGGAAGATCTCTGAGGCTTAAGCAGACAGGGGTGGCTTTGTGAAGCAAGTGGGACATAAACTCCTCTTGAAAGGGGAGTTTGGTTAGACAGGAACTAGAACAGTCTTGGTGCACAGAAATCACTCATTCAATATGTGTTGAATTGGAGAGGCAAGAAGGCGTTGTCTAAATTGACTACAAAATTTCAGGTATGGAAAACTGGGCAAAGTGAATTAGGTTGATACACTTGTTTAAACTTTCAAATTATTTAAATGAAATAGAGTTAATTTGGTCAGGCTTATTCTTAAGTCTGTATTCCCAACCTTAAGAAAGTTAATTTATCCTGCAGTTGCAATTAAGCTTCTCCAGGAAACAGGATTACGTGCAAAGGTCCTTCATTTCTTGTTTAGGTACCAGGAGAGGTTCAGAGTTTTATAGTCCCTAAATATTTTTTTCTTCAGCCTTTCCTGGATCTCTTCCTTAATTCTTTTTGAACTGCTGAGGAAGAAAGGAGGAGGAGAGATTTAAATGTCCTTTGGCAAACTGAATTTTCTTTGTGGTAGGTGAAGGTAGGCAGCAGAATTGACTCCAGAGAGATTGAACACCCCAATCCATTCTGTGAATAGATTGTGTTTGAAACAGATCAGCAGCCCAAGGTGCTTTGTGAAAAAAGTATAGATGACTGGGAAGGGTTCTGTTTTTGTTTGTTTTCATCGAGAAACTTGATTGGAGAAAATTAATGATTACTGAGAAAGGTATAAAATTGTATGTAGGCACTTACTTTAGAAATTTTTAATAAAATTCTATTTCTACTTTTTTTAAACTGAAAAAGATAGTAAAATGTTTTTCTTATTTTAAGTGTCCCTACTGTTTCTCCTGATGTTTGAATAGGATAGAAGTGCACACTACCACCTCTTGGTATCAGTGTTCCTAAATTGCAGGGTTTGGAAAGGTTGTTTGTAAGTGGCAGTATGTAATGTAGAAGACACCAGGAGACAGCAACTGTAGACTGAAAAAAATTAAAAACACTTTTATACTAATGGAACAACAATCTGCTAAGTTTGGCATTTGAGGGTATCCAAGCTATTTAGACCTTAGCTCTCAGAAGCACTCTTTGGTTTTAAGAGTGGGGATCCTTGGTCTTTCAGCTCCTCTGTTTTCTGTTAAGCTTTTTTACTAACCTTTTTTCTGCTTCTTCAAGGTTCCTGATAAGAAGTACTTTTTAGACTTCAAAATTTCAGAAGAGAGGTGAAAGAGTGTACTGCAACTTTGAGTCAAGTTTATAGGCAGGTGGACTGACAGACGGATTAAGCTACAGGTAAGTCTGTATCCACGGTGTTAAATTCAAAATGAATAAGGGTAACATTAATATATTAGCTTCAAAAGTGTTAAAATAATTTTAGTTTATTATTATAAAGTAACATATTTTGGAAGAAAATTTATGTAATATGGAATAGCAAAAGAAAGTAATGTTACCCACTACCCCATCTCTCAGATAAACTATGGCTAGCACTTTAATAGATTTCTTTCCAATTTTTTTGTGTGTCTATATTTGGTTTTAAAAGTTAATGTACTAAAAACCTTCATTTTTTTGCTTAATAACTAGGTTATGCCTATTTTGTCATATCATTAAAATTTTCTGTAACATTGTTTTAATGGCTATATGGTATTCCACAATATGGTGGAACCATTGGTCAAAAAAAATACATATTTTTTGTATCTAAAAGAAAATGATATAAATGAACTTATTTATGAACCAGAAATGGACTTACAGACATAGAAAATAGCTATGGTTACCAAAGCGGAAAGGGGGAGCAGAGGATAAATTAGGAGTTTGGGATTAACATATACACACTACCATATGTAAAATAAATAGACCATAAGGACCTACTATATAGCACTGGGAACTATATTCAGTATCTTGTAATAACCTATAATGGGAAATAATCTGAAAAAATAAATATGTATGTAGCTGAAACACTTTGCTGTACACTTGAAACTAACACAACATTGTGAATCAACTGTACTTCAATTTAAAAAATTTATTTCTCCTTTAATTTGAAAAAAATGCGTATTTTTAAGATCCTTGGTACATAACACCAAATTGCCTCATAAAGTTATGCTAATTTACATATCCACTAACAGTTTATATTTACACAGACACAACTTTACATTTTAAAAATATGTAATAGATTCACATGACACAAAAGTCAAAATAATATAAGAAGATTTATAGCTAAAAATCTGCTTCTAATCCCTGCCATCTCATTGGTAATCACTTTTTCAGGTTCCCAGGAAGTGTGTGTGTGTGTGTGTGTGTGTGTGTGTCTACTTTCCCAACCAGATACCTTTTGAGGGATATAAATCTCTACAAGACTGAGTAATTGAGATTTGACTAGGATTATAACCTCCTACAGCCCCACTGTCAACCCTTACAAACTCTTTCAGCTTCTTTTGGAACATCAGAACACTTTGGTATTACAAAGATCTGTGTAATTTGGCCTAGAGGTATAAGGCATCTTTGATTTCTATCCAGGTTCTAGTAATCGTGTCAGAGTGGATTAAGGTTTACAGAGTTCTGTGGATGAATTTTAAAAAGCAGAACTGAACTGAATTTGTAATCCTTCAAAAAGAGCGGTATGAAACTCATATGTTTGGGAGGGAAATGATAGAAAAATGTATTTGCTTGAGATTTCCGGACAGTGATGAATTAGAACAAGTGTCCATGTGTCCTGTGCTGACTTCTGAGTGCTTGGACAGTGAGGAATTGTCATTGGATTTTAAATTGACCCAATTTTGGAAGCTTCGTAGATCTGTTTCTGTAAACAGATCCGATTTCAGCATAGAAGTTAGCAAATGAATGTGGAAACACAAGGTCCATTAACTTCCTTCAGATTTAGTTTGTGACTCTGGTTAACAGTTAAAATTGCAGTCTGGATTATGTTGCCATTTACTGTCTCCTGCCAATCCTTATATACAGAAAAAAAAAAAAGGGAGAATGTAGGTATTTTCTCCCTGGGTAAGATGAAAATAACTCAACTCTATTTAACTTGTGGTAGTGAAACAGGATCTCTTATCCCTTATGAAAATAGAGTGTCCCTGGATAAATGGCACTGCCTGGGATGGGACCATCTTAACTAACTACACGTCTAATGGGGTCTTGACTTACTCTGTTTATTCTATTGCATTTCCAATTATTTAACTCATGATTTTTCCTCCCACAGAAATAGGCAAGACACAATTCACAAGCGGGATAGTGAGGTGCTTGAGAGCACCGAGGTCTTTGTTTTGCTTATAGAGCTGTCTACTATTTCAGCCTTGCTTAGAATGCACCCTTTTGCAGCTTTCCCCCACCTCCTCTGAACCTGCAACTTCTGATTTATAGAGCTTGTCATGGCTAGTTATTTTTGGTTTGAGAGTGAAGAGAGACAGGAGGCCTTGGAGGTTAATTTCAGATAAATATGAAAATAGGATACATTGCTGCTTCTTCAGTCTTCCTCAGTTGTGTACTTCCCCCCGTATGTTTTCCCCTTTCCATTTATCTCTTCTCCTAGAAAAAGTTGATATTCATCTTGAGCTTGTAGAGCTCTGCAGGGCTGTCTTTTATGTATCACTTCCACCAGGAAGCCTTCTCTGACCCACCTCACCTGCTCCCCTTCTCTGTACTCCCATAGTGCCTTTTGTTTATCCCCCACTACAGCAAGGGTCACCCTGTATCCTAATTGTCTGTGAGTTCCTAAATGGAAGGTATTACATATATCTTTTTAGTCTTTGTTTTTTGGAAACAAAAATGAACTATATGATATGATTGATAGCACTTAATAGGCACTTTCAAAAGGAGCCTAACCAGTTCATAGCATTTGGAAGAAGCTTTTTCTTCAGGTCTGTTGTAGGATTATTGGTCAGAAAGAGCTATCTTCACTCAGAATGTTTCTAATTTTGCAGGAGTCTGAAGCTGTGGTGGATTCAGATAATTTTGAAATGTGAAGCTGATTCTTTTGCTTGGCAGCTTGATTTGTGTAGGGGAATGTGCTTGACGCATATGCCTTTTTTTTTTTCTTCGGTGAAACCTGTTGACAGAAATTCAATCTTGATTAAGGGGTGCAGGAAGGCGTCCAGTTCCACCCTGCTTGGGGCTCTCTCATTTAAACGGTTGGCTTTGACCCTGGCCTATTCCATTTCCCACTAGGCATTTAATTTTTGAAGGTTTTGAATCCTAATATTTATTATTTGTGGGAGAGGCAGTGTAGTGAAGCTGGCATAACCCAGTAGTTAACTTTTTGTTTTGCTCATCCACTTGTGCTATCACCCGTTATTTAGGAGAGTCAGACTTCTCAATTCATATGTATTTATTTATTTGTCCTCTTTTTTTGGTGGTGGTTGTGGGGTGGTCTCTTGAGTTGGCCATATAAGACCAAAAGATAGCTCAAGAGAAGCTTTTTTAAAAAGAAGTCATTTTTAGAAAATAGTATTTTGCTTTTAAAATGTCACCTAAATAAAGATAAGGTATATTTAGGTTTGAGCTGCTTTGCCTTTTAGTAGATCTCAGAGGACATCCCTCCTTCTGATGCTTGAATACCCTTTTCATTGTCTCTTCTACTCTGGAATATCTACTGAGAGGTTCAGACTAACCTCTATCTTATTTATAGCAAAAATTTATATGCTCGAGTACAAACTTAAAAAAATGAGAAGTTAAAGGGTGATATTTTACTTTAAGGAAGATTCAGCTCAGAGCTTTCCTGGTGTATTTAGAATATGGATTTTAATTTACCAGAGTGTTCTCTATGAACAACTTGTCAGGGATGCTTAATTTTTGTATAGAGCATAGTTTATTTTTATATTTGTCTAACAGGTTAGTAAGATTTGGTTACCTACCTCATATTTGAAGGAATATTTGTAGGAAATCCTGTATATTATAGTGACCCCAGATTTTGGAATCCTATAACACTGCTACCTGCTAGTTGGTGATCTCAGAGTAGCTTAACTTCTCTGAGCCAGTTGCCTTATTTGTAAAATGGTGATGATGTCATCTGCCTTCTATATTGTTAATGCAGTTCACATGAGATGATTTATGTGATGTGCCTGGTAAAGTACTTGGCCTGTACTGGTAGTATTTGGAAGTTATTATCTATAAATGGTTTTGTCTCTTGCTCCTTGATATTTGATATTGTTCTTTATAAATATCTATTTTTAACTAAATATGAGAGGCAGTGGATAAGAACACCCCCTTTCGGGCTTGTCTGGGTTCCAGTCCTGGCTTGGCTGGTTTTTAGTTGCATGATCATGAACAAGTAGTAAATCTCTCTATGTCTCAGTTTCCTCATCTGGAAAATGAAGATAATGGTACCTACTTCATAGGATTACTATAAGAATTTAGTGAGTTAATACAAGTAAAACACTGCCAACAGTGTTTGGCATGTCATAAATACTCAGTAATTAATAGCTATTATTATTTTTTAACTTTGTTTTCAAGTTTATATACCTTTTTATTAGGTCAATATACAGGAACATTTTACTTTTATACAGAAACGTTAAAAAAAATGTGTAGTGTTTGGATATGTAAAGTTAGTAGCCAGTTTGCAGGCCATGTAAATGTGAAGCATTATTTCCAAAAATCAAAAGGTTTAACAATTATTGCTGGATTATAAGAATATTTAGTAAAAATTCCAGAAAGCCTAGTGACTTCTAGGCTGTAAACAAAGATTTAGGAGGAAATAATACTGCTTAACTAGTTCTTTAAACTGATAACGGTATGCATTTATGTAACAAAACATATACAAAAAGTATAGAAGTTCATATATTGAAGTCTTCGCCTGGCCCAGACCTGCCAAGCTTTATTCCCAGACCCAAATACTGTTAACACTTTTGTGTTTTTCATAATTATGTATTTATAAGGGTATATATGAGTATACATTACCCCTTTCCCTCTTTTTAACCTGAATGGTAGCATGCACTTGTACATTTTACTTTTTTCATTTAATAGCTCTTGGAGTTCATTTTGTACATATCACATATATAAAGTTACTTAATGTTTCATTATATGATTGTGCCATAATTTATTCAAATAGTCTATCTATGATGGCTGCTATAGCTCTAGCCATTACATCTACCTTCAAGGCAAGAAGGATGAAGGGAATGGGCGAGAACAAGGGCTGCTATGTGAATTTTTTATACTTACATATGCATAAATACACATCAATAAGATAAATTTCTACATTTGGCAAGATCTATCAAAAAGGAAAACGCAAATTACCCTCCAAAGAGGCTAGCAGTATAGCTCCATAATTAAGAAAGATAAAAAGGATGTGAGGGGTTAAATTTGAATACTTTCCGGGTGGTTTTCAGCAGCATCCTTTGGTGGAATCATAGTTTTTAGGAGGCTAAGTGGAGTTGCTACATATTACATTCCTGCCTCTTTCCTCCCCCAGCTTTAATTGTCTTCATTACATTCCTGCCTGGGAAGTGTTCCCAGTGACCTGGGTTAGGCATTAAGATCATGGGAATCCAAGATTTTCCCATGTCTTCCAGCATGTTTGTTCACAAGAACAGGGAGACTTCTTCCTTGCAGCAGGGGAATTTTAACCACTATCAGTTGCTGGGGAATCTTTCAGTAGGGTCCTTTGAATAGAAGTGTGGCCAAGAAAAGGAAAACTATCAGTAGGTCGAAAGGCAGTGATTATATCACATGGTAGTGTATTTCATAGCACTCAAAATACTTTCTCATTTGTTTATAGGAAGCAGGTAGGCAGAAATGTGGAGTGACTTGCTTGTTGTCATGCCAGAGACGGGGCTAGAATTCTGGATTTCTATGTTGGGGGATTATTTTTGCCTATATATATGTGACAGAAAATGTGACTTTAACAGCTTATACAAAAAGAGTTTTATTGTCTGGAAATAGATGGTTGCTGATATTTGATTATCAGTGACGAGTATCTCTGATGTCTGGACCATTGTCTGTTATTCTCTTTGCCATTCACTTCTGTGTACGTGATGAGTGCTATAGCTCTAGTCATTACATCTGCCTTCAAGGCAAGAAGGATGAAGGGAAAGGGTGAGAACAAGGGCTGTAGCTGTATCAGGAAGGTAAGAGATTTTCTATGAATACCTCAGCAGATTTCAACTTTGTTCTCATTGGCTAGAACTGTCCCATGGCTACTCCAAGCTTGGAAGCTTGGTGATATAGGGGGTGACTTCTGTAAGAGTACAGTTACTATTTTGATGGTGTTTAGTGAAAAATATTTTATCATAGCTTGACTTAAGCTTGACTTAGTCTTGAATTCTCTTTATACTTATAGTTTGTACTATATAATTTAAATGTTTATACTGTCGTATTTATTGAATGTGATAGGATTCCTGTCTAGATTTTAAATTCCTTTGTGTTACCAGTATTTACTTCTCTTCCAAGATACAGAATACTTTAAGTACATGTTGTTCTGTGTGAAGACAAATGGCTCATTGTGTTTCATAGGGAAATTATTTGCCAGTGAGTGTAGCCTCTAGGCTGTTTTTCAGATTACTTTCAGCTATTTTCTTAACGCACAAGGTTTCAGCAGGACAGGACACAGGACAGTACTTAAAGTACAGAGAAGTAGGAATGGGCCCATATCTTTGTTTGACTTGTTTCTTTTACCTCATTTGCATGTTGTGCCTTTTATATATTTTTGAGTCTTTCTCTTCATGCCCAGGAATAGTATTTTTATGAAAGCATTTTCTAAAGAAAAAGCTTGTACTTGGCAAAACTGTATTGAACTCTTACTATGTGTGAGATACTGTTGTAAGCACCTTGATGGATGGATAAGGTATACACAAGTGAGTAAAACCCATCCTTGCCTACAAGAACTTAGTGTCTACTAGGAGAGACATTTGCATAGTTAACTAATATAAAATTGGTTGGCAAAAAAGCACTATGCCTTTGGAGAGGTAACAAGTATGTATGATAGCTGGAAACTGGGGAAGAATTTACAGAGAATTGAATTGAACTTTGAGTGATGACTAAGATACTGGTTGGCATGTATAAAATTTAATGGTGTGTTTCAGAAATTGGGTTATTCAGGGCAGAGAGAAAGTAAATTTAATGTGGGGGAGGCTAGAAATGAGAAAACGGTAGATTGAGGGAAAATAAAATAATGAATGTAAAACACATGTCACAGTGCATGATGTGTTCGTCAAATTTGCCCTTTCCCTAATTCTAACATTTTTACCTTAAGGAGTCCTTCAAGTTACCAAAGAAGCAAAATTAACTTTTAGTGTGATTTGAGGAATAAGACATACTGCCCAGGTGGTCTTCAGAATTGCAGATATGATAGTAAAAGCAAGGTAATTGCTAGGGAATCAGTACCTTAGATAAATGTACAACCAAGTTTCTGAACCATTTCTTTCCTTAGGAGGTGACTTATTGAGAAAAGTGACACGAACACTGGGGAAAAGCTGCTCTTCTGCACCAAGGGTGGGGAACAATGTCACAACTTACAACCTCTTATTCCTATGATGCTCCCACGGACTTCATCAATTTTACATCTTTGAATGATGAGGAAGATACCCAAAACATAGATTCCTGGTTTGGTGAGTGTCTGCTTTATTTGGTCATTTTTAGGGTCAGTGGTTTGCTTTGTGCTGAGGACCTTTCAAAAGTAGAAAGAGTTTTAAGAAAATAACTAAAATACAAATTTCTTTCTGCAAGGTACTTTGTCATCCATGATATGATAGAAATAATTGAAATCCTCACTATTTTGGGAAAGGACTATCAGTAGAAATCAGTATTTTACAGTTAAGAATGACAAATATTTAAGCTTTAGGAACATATGGGGAAATCCAGATAAGGCAAAGTTGATTGAAATTCTCAGACATGTCTGTAGTGAGGGCAACCACATAAAAACTTACTCTACTGTCACTGGACATAGAATATAATATTGCAACTGGGGCAGTGATACTGATACACTCCACCAATCTTACTCACACTTCCCCAGTTTCACTTGTACTTCTTTTTATTTATGTGTATTAAGTTCCTTGCAGTTTTATCACCTATGTAGGTTTGATCTACCCCCAAGATAGCAAATAGTTCTAACGTCACAAGGATCCTTACGTTACCCTTTTATAACTATACTCCCCTCCCTATTGCTGCCTCTCCCCAATTCATTTTTAAATGGAGGGATTATACTACTCAGAACCAAATCTCCAAATAGAGTTTGGATTGCTTGTTGTTGGGTTGTGTGGTATGACACAAACCCTGACACCAGGTCAACAAGTAAGGATGTGATTTTGTTTTTATATTACGTTGGAATAAAATATGAGACCAGTGATATGTCAGGCTAGTAGTTGCTGGGGCACTTTCATTTTTTTCTTTCTCATGTCCTTTTCTCTTCATTCGGAGAAATCAGTATGTAATGGGGGACAGAAATGAGTCCATTGCAGCTATACTCAACACTTATAATGTAGTGTCCAAATGTGATGGCACTTGCCATTGTCTTGGAAAAGGACTTTAATGAGATGCGGTGGGGATCCTGAGAGGAGGGGTCTGCTGGGTGTGGTGTAGGAGGAAGGGTGGATGAGACAGTCATCTGCCACTCAGAGGTCTTCCCTATGCCCTTATCCACTGAAACCCTGAGAAGTAGCTGGGTTGTTTGAACTAGCTCTTTTTCCAAGGTTTTCTTGAAAATGAGAAAGGAAATATTAGTATAACAATACTATTAAATACAGTTTGGAAGAAAAAATGAATCCCACAATTTTTTCAAAATCACCTTAGCTCTAATATATTATTTCCTAATTTTCTTCTAAATAATCGCATCTTTTTACACAGTTGCAATCAGAGTGTACGTTCATAGAGTTAGTGCTGGGACTCACTGCATTCCTGAAGCTTCTATTAGTCAGCTGTTGGTGGAACACACTTTTCACTGCTTTGCCCTAGCCTTTATGTACAGCAGAACCAAAAATAAAATTTTTTGAGAGCCTAGCTCTGTTCCATCCTCACATACCCCACACTCGCCTATTTGAGGAAGAACCTCAACTCAATTATAGACTGTAAGGTGTTGCTTGTAAGCCTTGCAGATCTTGCTGGCTACAGTTTTCTTTAAGAGGAACATGATGTATTTACGTGGTAGATAAGGCCAGTTTATGCTTGTATGGCCCTAAAGTGTATCAAGCAAAGATAAGCTAATCACAATGCAGAGTCTGCACTTCTCTTTTTTTCTAATACATTGTTGCAGTGTTGCCAGTGTTTTAGTGATAGTTTTTGCAGTCTCTATCTCCGATGTACAATGTGTACTTATTTTTTCTTGATCACTAGAACTGTGCTAGTACTTGCCAAATGAGTTAGAAGTCTACTGGTAGGAGGCTTTAAGTATATGGCACTGATTTATTTTGCTTCTTTGCTGATTGTTTAGATGATGATGGTTTTACTTTTTCACAGAGGAGAAGGCCAATTTGGAGAATAAGTTTCCTGGAAAGAATGGTACAGGAGGGCTTTTTCAGGGCAAAACTCCCTTGAGAAAGGCTAATCTTCACCAAGATTTCACACCTTTGAGACCAGGTAAGAAAGAACATCTCAGAAAAAAGCTCTGTGGCAGAATGGTGAAGCAGTATATTAGGAACCTGAGGGATCTGGGGAAATTACCTAAATGCTGTATCCCTTGGTTTTTAATTGGTGAAATAGGCTAATTCATTTACTTATTTCATGGTGAATGTGAAACTAATGATGTGCTACATTTTTTCCCCAATCTTTTGGAAATTAAGCTAACATAGAATTTTATTGCTTAGATATATAACTGTTTTCTTTTTATGATAAGATTTAATGTACCCTAACCTGAATCTGGCTGGGAAACAAAACAGCAGGAGAGAAGAATGTACTGCTTGCACACTGTACAAGAATTCTTTGAGTTATGTATCTTATTTTGAAAGATGATTGACATTTAAACTAGCATTTACTAAATCTGCAAAGTATTGTCTATTTGATGTAGAACAAGAGAAGAATTTAATAAGTCCTAAATTCTCAAAAATGATTCTTGTTTTGAAATAGCAGCTATATTTAGCTATAATTTTATATCATACAGTTCACCCACTTAAAGTGTACATTTCAATGTTTTTTCATATTCACAGTGTAGTTGTGCAACCATCATCACAATCAATTTAGAACATTTGAAAATTAATCTTTACACCAGAAATTGACACAACATTGTAAACTGACTATATTTCAATTTAAAAAAAAAGATTTTCAAAAAAGACAATTTGGGCTTTTTCTCTTTTTCTTGATGAGTCTGGCTAAAGGTTTATCAATTTTGTTTATCTTTTCAAAGAACCAGTTCTCAGTTTCATATTGGACAATGATCCTTGAAAGGTATAGCCTCTTAATCTGGGGAGGGAATTATTTTTCTTAATATCATCTTAGTATTTTTGCTGCCTTGTTTCCTAGATCTTATTTCTTCTTTCTTGTGTTCTTTCATTTGTTCTTCATTTTGCAGGGGTACATTCTCAGGGAACTCCTAATATATTTTAGGTGTAGGAGAGGACAACTTTGAATTGTCACATGTCTGAAAATGTCATCTTTCCAGCTTCATTCACAATTGAAAGTTGAACTTAATATAGAATTGCAGATGAAAAGATTTTTTTTCTTGACTTCTCTGAAGGCATTGTTCCTTTGTCTTTTATCATCCTGTGTTAACTGATGAGGAATTCAGCTTATCCTATTTTCCTTACTTAGGTAATTTCTTTTTCTCTATGGAAACTTTCAGAATTTTATTTTTTTTAAATGTCATGAGAATGTGTTTGGGATTATTTTTTCTGAGGTAGTACCTCAGGCTGGCAAATAGGCAGGGCCCCTGGATACTTCATTTCTGCTTCAACCAAAATAGCTTTAATAAATTTTATTGGATACTAAAATTTTATTGGAACTAAAGGTTCCACTGCTTGAGAGGGATATATACACACACAAAATTTTCAATCTAGAGTTTTGTATTAAGTCATATACATGTAGATGTATCTCTCATCTCCGATTTGTTTCCTTGGGATTTGAGTACTGACTAGTTTTTGCTCTCCTGCAGTTGACAACACTTACAACAAAGAGGCGGAAAAAGAAAATCTGGTGGAAGAGTCCATTCCATCAAATGCTTATTCTTCCGTAAAAGTCAAAGGAACCACAACAAGAAATACTACAGCTCAGCCTCAGAGGTAGGACTGTTTGGGGCTCAAAAGTGGTGATTATATTAATAATGTTCAAAGAATAGTAATTGTAGCATCTACTATGTGAACTACATTGGACTCTTCGTGTTACCTTTTTTAATCTTCATAACATTTATGAGTTATACATAATATACCTGATTTATAGATAAGGGCTCAGAGGTGCTAAGTGTCTTGCCTAAGGCAAATTTATTTCAGAGACAGGTTTCAAACTGATCATTTTGGCTCCAGAGTCCTTGCTGTCTGCACTAGCAACATGGGTTGCCATTTTACGTTTATTTGTGTGGATATTTGACAGGTTTTTTTCCTGTTGTAAGTAAACTCCATAAGGGCAGGTATCATGTATGTTTAGTGCCTAACAGTGTCTGGTAGGAGCAAAGCTGAAAAACTGAGCAAACGGGTGGATGGATGGGTGGGTGGGTTAAGCTGCACTCTTGGCACTAGTGACTTCCGAAATCTAATGTCTTTGAATGTTGCGCTTTGTTTCAGTATCCTCTTTTTAACCAAAATACAGTGTTGGTCAGTCTTGATATTAGTTGCCTTCAGATGGCAGTAATCAAAAGAATACTCAAATTAGATTTTTAAAAACTTTTACCACCTAATAATTACCACTCACTCATAGAGTTTAAATTCTAGGACTGCTTATTGCTTTATACTTTGATGTCACCAGAATATCCTCAAGGAAGAGGAATGGCAGAGGTATTTCTAATACTATTGCTCAGAAGTAATGAAATGACCCTTTACAAAGCCTCAGGCTGATATAAGAGGATCACCTTTTGAGGATGGTATCATACATGCTGATTTTAATCTTTCCTAGTTAAGAAGCCCATTTTAATTAAAGAATTCTATGAGATCTCAGCCAACTAGGTATGTATCACAGGAGATATAAGAGATTGCTATTGGTTGATACTGTGGTTTCTGTTCCATGTTTAGATTGTTAAGTGAGGCATACGGAAAAGGGACCCAGTGTCCTATAGGTTTTTTCAGAATCCAGAATAGTGTTAGTGTCTTGGCTTCTCCATTTTGTGTATGTATATGATTACTAAAAATGTCCCACATTCTGACTGAATTCTGGAGTGATTTTTGAAAATGATATGACCTAAAGCCAGCTGTTCTCAGAGTCAGAAGACCTGAATTGTTTTTTTGTTTTGTTTTAAAGGCAGGTACCTCTAATACTCAAAACCTTAGTTTACTGACGTATCTCAGGCTTATTGCAAGAAATAGCAAATAAGGTAACATGTGACATTAGTTTGTAAATGATACTGCATTATGAAAATGCATGAAGAAGTAAAACATTAGTGCCATTTATCTCAGATCTCAGATTTATCTTAGTCCAGGGATGCCTAATATAGAAAGGAACAGTAGATGAAATAGGGAAGGTGTAGATAATCATACAAATTCACTATTTCATTTTCACATGGTTTTGATGAATAGGCTAAAAGATGGCCATAACTCTTTGACACAGAATAGTTAAGAGTTAACAAGGCCTTAGTCTACAGTAATAATTTCTCCATGCAGGTGTTGCTTTACTACAAATATACGTTTTAATTCTTGTAATCTCATCTCTTAGTGATTTCTCCCTAAAGACACCCAGCAATTCTTCTCTTGACTTTATAACATCATTGTATGCTGAGTTTAAGTGATAGTCCAAAATGGTCATGTCTTCATGTACTTTGCCTTCTTTCTAATATTTATGAAGCCATGTCCATTTTAAAAAATCAATTTTATTGGGGTATAATTTGCATATAGTACAATGTACAGATCTTGAATGCACAGTCTGATTAGTTTTGACAAATGTATAACACCATGCAACCACGACACCATGATTAATATAGAACATGTCCATCACCTCAGAATGTTTCCTCATTCCTACCCCTTTGCAGTCAACTTTTACTGCTCACTCTTTCTGCTTTCTCACTCTCCCACCCGCCACCCAGAAGCAACCACTGTTCTGATTTCTGTTGCTATAGATTAATCTTG